TCTGAAGCTCTGTCTCACACCTCCCAGCTATAACTGTGGCTGGAAACCAGGCTACCAAGGAGCAGAACAAGAAAGCTGTTCACAGGGTTATCCATTCAACGCAGCACTGCTTCAGAGCAGGTTTTCTCAAGGCAAGATGGGACAGTCAAATTTTCTGGATTTCTGCAAGCATGGAAGGAAAGAGACCTGTTATACAGAAGCAGCTGAGGTGCTAAGATGACAGACAGGAGCAGCTTGACAGAAAAGGAGGAGGAGCTGTCAGACTAACTGTGATAAGGCCAAAATTGATTTAGGGATGGAGAATGTAGACACGGTAAGTGGTACACTGTCTGCAGAGAAAAGCCTTCCCCACTTTCAAGAATGTTGCCATTCACTACCTGCAGAAGCCCAGTGATTACTCTGCCACCTTTGACTTCCTCCACTGCCACATCCACCTCCTCACTGCTCTAATGAAGCAAGAACCTCACTCCCTCACCGAAGAAAGGCAAAAATACTGTTTCAAGCCAGAAGAACCACAAGCCTTACCAGAAGGCACTGGGGATGTGAAAAATTCACCAAACAACTCCAGTCTCCAGAGGTCTGCTAGTCCAAACTCCTGCTCAAAGCAGGGGTCCGGGAGAGTCCCCAGATGTGAGCAGACTGCATCCTAGGAGCAGGCGAGATCAGAGGAAAAGCACTTAAGGGATGAGCTGTTACAAGCCCTTAGAAAGCTTCTGGTAACTGTTTACAAGTGGCTGGCTACAGATGAAAAACTGTCTGAGCTGGCGTCACAGCTGAACAGCGATCCCCCGCAGCTCCCCTACATTAATCACTCTGCTGGCTGACTTATCTCTCTACATCAATTAAAGACACAACATAAATACTGGATTTCAAATTTGTAGTCATGTTCACTGGTCCATGCGTGATTTATCTGCAAGACACACACACAAACACACAGCTAGCCCAGAGAGCCTCTTTCGCAGCCGCTGTTGAACGAAAACCATCTCCACCAGACCCCTGCATCTTGCTGACTCATGGAGAAGAGTGTGGTTTTGGCTTCAGGAGAGTTATCATCTCACCTGCTCTGGTTGCTCAGTGGGGCAAGAGGAAGGCAATTTTGTCCTTCTCCCTCACCTCTCTGCTGTCAGGCGCAGACCCAGTAAGGCCCTCTCCTACCTCACCTCCCTCAGCCAGGGAAAGGAGATGGTCCAGCCCCTGGCAGGTGAACAACCAGCAATGCTTCAGAGCAGGATGGGTCCTCCAAGACCTCTGTCTGCATCTTTATAGGGAGGATACAAAAAGCCGTTGGCCCCATCCTGATCCTTTCCTTGCACCCCCCCTCTGAACACGCAGGCAGAAGCTTTTGCCTGAGCAACATTTGCATGCTGCAGCAGGGAAGATGACAGGAAGGATGAAACCTCCCTGCTTCACTGATGCAAACCCTGGCTTGCACACACACAAGCTCATGGTGGTCTGCCAGTTAACTCCTGTTCGCACTGAGCACCCCCGGAAAGCTGCAGGCTGCGCTGCTGATACCAAGTTCAGGTGCACGGCGAGTCCTGGAGGAGGGCTGGAAACCAGCAGAGTATCCTCACACATTGCAACAGGAGCTCCAGAACCACTGAGGCTAAGCTCTGATCTCTGCTAAAAGCAAACATTTCAGCAGAAAGGCAGAGCAATGCAAAGCCATCTAGCCAGACTCTCAGTGGTGCCACCCAAGCAGATGCACCACTGAGACCTTCTCAGAACCTGTCCCCAGCCTTTTTAATACCATCTACATGCTGCTTAAAATAGATAATCCTATTCCCAAGGCAGTCCAGAAGCCATAGGCATTCACAACAGGATCACCTTTTTCCCTCAGCTTCTGAAATGTGCATTTTCGCATGGGTGCTTGGGATGACTAGAATTTGTAAAGCAACGGAGCAAAATGGCATTAATTAAAATTTAAGCAGAACCTGAAAAATCCTCAGTAAATTAATCTGCATGCCTCAGCAGTCTCACCAAGAGTGCTCCAAGCTCAAATGTTTAATGACTAAAACACGCATTGAAAGAACTGCATTTGCTAAGCCCGGATGAGACTTTAAAAAATAGACCCTAATCCATGTATAAGTACACATGGAAACAGAGAATAAAAAACAAAAAAGAAAAAAAAAATCATTTTTGCAGTTCATTTTTGACTTTTCTTATTGTTTCAAATCATCTCTTTTGCAATGACTTTGAAGAGGAATTATCCTGTTTCTGTGTCAAAGCTGGGCAATGCATTTTACACAAACAATTCCTATTCAAGCTCAGTAATTTAACTGCAGTCTACAGCAACCAGAACATTTTTAAAGCTGGGGGAAAAAAGTTAAATGTCACCTCTTTGACTTTTAAAGCACTGCACTCCATAATCACAAGAGGTTGCTGGGCATATTCCAGCCTGTCTTTGAAAAGCTCATCTGGACAACCCCACCCTGACAGCCAACTGAGGCCCATTTACAAATATGCACATTTATTTTTTGTTTCTTCTGTGTGCTTACTAACACTGTTACCTTTAACAGGACAAGTTTTCTTCTCAAATGTGCATTCAGCATTCCCTGAATGAATTTCTTCTACTCTCTCTTCTGCTTGTTTTAAACCACTAGAGCATGATGAACAGCTGCAGGGATCTAGCTTTGTTCCCCTTCGTGAGCTGTTGATCTACCGCACTTGATTAATTCAAACAATCCCTCCCAATGAGCACTATCATGCACCTGTCTGCACGGAGTCTTTTAACACAGCATACTGCACCACATCACTTCGGCTCCAAGCAGCAGAAGGTATCTCTCTTCTTCAATCAGAGGACTGCACATTTGTTCCACTATAGTAAGCATGCACAACTTCTAGCGCCCCAGCACTTGGTGAGTACTGATGGTTTCTGTTCAGGACTCTGCAGTTTTAGCAGGGTTAGGGGCCAGCCTCTTGACTTCTATCAGTGGCAGATAGCAGATGTGTCCCAGCATCACACATAGGAACAATCCCTTTGGTTTTGCTGCTGGGCGGCAACTGCAAGGCACCACCTCCCGCACTTGAGAGAGCAACGTCTCCATCACAGCCAACAGTGAGCACAGCACCGTGAAAGCTGTTGCACGGTGGTCCTCAGTGGGGGAGGCAAGTCATGCGGTGCCTGTTATGGTCCTTCGCTATTTGATCACTCCCTGTCCTGCCCACTGAAGTGGCAGTTCAATAAGCTAGATTAATTGACTTGGACCCTTTGGCAAGTCTGACAGGGCACAAAGCCACTCAGGTGGTAATTTTTTTGATGTGTGGCCCTTTGACTACTTGGGCTGGGAACACCAGTGTTTCTGAACAATCCTTGCATTGATCTTGACTTCTCTTTATGCATTAAGAATTACAACCATCAGGAAGGCTGCCCTGTGCCAGGCACAACAAAGGTTTGTTGTGCCTGGCAACAAACAAAAGAAACGCTAGTTTGGTTGTACTACACGTAGGGGAAGGGTGATGCAAAATAGGAGATAGCTGTCTGAGCTCACTCAGTGGGCCAGTATCAAACCTGAGGTTAAAACCCAGGGTGTTAAGTATCAGGTGGGCCAGTGCTCTCTGCAGAGCCATGATGACACCCAGGCAAGAGGGTCAAGAGCAGGAAAATGATTTCTACATCATCTTTCTACTCCCTGTGCCTGAAAACTGATAGCCCTGAGGGGTCTGTGGCACAAACCAGGGGACTTTCAGTTATGAAAAGCTCTACCCATGGTGGTCTCTCCCTGCCCTGTGCTCCTTTCTGAGAGCCTGGCACAGGGTACAAAAGACCTGCAAGGTAGGCTGGTTCATGGTGGGCAGAGAGTAAGATCTGTCAAAGCTGAGGCTGTCTTGTGCTGGCCTCCACGCACAGAGTAGCCAGGGTGGCATCAAAACCCAGCCTGCAGTGAGGACATCTGTCCCCTTCTCCAGTCTGCACCAGCCTCTTCCATCCATAGGCGAGCTAAAGCAGAAAAACGGAGAGCTGAGGAGAATCCCTTACTGAAGAGAAAAGGCAAAGGGCTCTGTCACTAGCAGAGAAATTACAAACACCTATCTGTCCACACTGACAAGGAAACTCCTGGAAGGGGGAGCTTCAGGGAACAACACATCATAAGGCTCTATATAGCAGCTAAGTGAGAGCGTATAGTTAAAAACTACACAGAGGCCCTTTGTCTTTAAAATACAATGCTAATGGCTGACATTTACAGCAGCCTCCTCCACAAATAAACTTAAAGCCCAGGTAGGCATTCTGACTGGGAGGTCAAGAGATCACTAATCTCCCTGACTGCAGAGACAGCACAGGTTTGGATACCCCCCAGCCTGCTAACTCAGGAGAAGGCTCTTTGCTTGTGAGAAAGCAAAAAAATTATTCAAATGCTGTCATCCCAGAATTGCCAGAGGTTTCCAGGTTTCACTCCTTCGTGCTCATGGGTCCAGGGTCCATGCAATAATGATAAGCAACAGTGACTATTTACTGCTGCTATGTACCAGTACCAACATGCTTCACATTGTCAGGAAACCAGTGTTCCCAGCACCCCTAGCTCTAGCCAGCTTTCTGCAGCTGCCTGTTTGCACAGCTCTTCTCACAGCTACAGCTCTCTTCCACAGCACTGCAGCATTTGTCCAGTTACTTTTCCCACCCACCACGTCGATAAAGTGACAAGTGACTTGAGAGATGAAAGCCACGTGCCGATGCGAGGAGATAAATGGGGAAGAGACAGAATATACATTACAGCGCTCTACCCCTCCCCGAGCTCCTTTAGAAACAGAACAACACAAGAAAGTCCCGATGCTTCAACTGCTAAATGATAAATTAACAAAGCAAAGCAAAGCAGGAGCAAAGACATCTCCCACAATCTGCACAGAAACAGCAAAAATATACAATAGAAAATGTCACTAACACCCCATTCAGGCAGATGCACTTATTTTTTTGTTTTTTGTGAATGACAGGTTATTAAATGGAAAAATTTTGAACACCGGTACTTTGCTTCATGGCTGTTCCCCTACTTGTCATTTCCACCTTAAGTGACCTTCTGCTTAATGCTGGGTGTTTCTGGCCTGTAGTCCTTCCTCTCCGAGACGTTGCGTTTCACCTTGGCACTAACTGGAGACTCCTGGTTCAATGAGGGACTCGAGTGGGATTTCTTCAGACCTGGCACATCATTCTCTCCTCCGCTCAGCAGATCCTTCACCCCTTCTTTCAGGAGACTAACGTAAGTCTCATAGCGATTTTTCTGGGAAATTAAAAGAAAAACCTGAATCAGCCTGCAAAAAATTCTGCAGAAGCACTTGAGATACCGTACGCATAACTTAATGCTTTCTGCTGGCCTTGAAGAAAGTCAAGAGCCTAATACAGATGGGAACAATGGTGCCTGATGTGGACATGAACAATGGTAGGTAATGTAAATTACACTGTATAGAAAGGATTCGAGGCAGGTTGAGCCCGGGGGCTCTGTGCAATTAGAGGCACTCCGCAGCAAACAAATCCCCGGTTCTCTGCTGAACAGTGGCTCTCAGCTACTTGAAGCGCATAAGGATTTCCAAGTAACAAAGCCAAGCGAGAGCTTGCTGACTTCAGTCACACTGAGTCATATTCTGTGCTCACACATACCAAGATGTTATTTGCCCCACGCAGGCATGGAGAAAGAGTGCAGCAAAGTAAGGGACAACAAAAATCCTGCTCTGGTTTGCTACAGCTCTCCCCTGCAACCCTCCATTCCCACCAGCAAGTCCTTTTCCTTGCTTTAGCCCTGGGGCAGAAACCAAATCAAGGCACTCCTAAACTGAGATTGTCCTGGCTTGGCCACCACTGAGCTTGTGAGAGGATACTCTGCAAGACCAAACCCTAACAAAAAGGAGCAGATGAGGGGGCTGAAAGCAGCAAGGTATGTCTCCCTGACAGGGCCACTCATGGTGAATGATGAAGGTTGCTCTCTCCTGACATCTGTATTTTACAATTAGAAAAAGTTCACTCTACTGTGCCCCATTTGTTCTCTTCTTCGGAGCGTAGCTTTCCCTCTCAAAGGGGAAGATTTTGCTGTGTGCCACAATACCATTTTTTTGCACAGAACATTTTGGCAACCAACAAAATGACAGTACATTAACAGAAGACCTCAAAAACAGAAGCTGGTGCAGGAGGTCCTGAGAATAAAGCAACCCATCTCCCGGGGATTTGTTTAATAATGTGCCCCTGACATATCCACTAAAGACATTATGCAGGCATTGTAATCCAGATGATCTCAGTGGGCTGGGGTCAGGGATGGAAGTAGTAAACATCTATACTGATTGTTAATTTATATTTCAAAGTGGCAAAACAGCAGCCAAACTATTATGCACCTGACAGAGGAAAAAGTGTTTACGAAAAATTCTTCCAATTTATAGTAAAATAATAAAGTTCTGGTAATAACAGGAAGGGCAGGAAGTCAAAAAACTTGGTAACTGCTTTGAATTGTGGAATATAAAAGGAAAAATTAAAAACAAGGAGAGAACGTGACTGGGTTTTCAAACAGTCCTTTGAGTAAACAAAACTGCACAGAGGAGGATCATAAAAAAATCCACACAAAAATTAAATAAAAAGAAGCATTCTGATCAATTCCATATCTGGAGCTCCAGCTCCACAACACGAAAGACAAACACATAAAGCAGGTAAGATGTGTCATTCAATAAAAAAGGAAATGGAGAAACAGCAAGCAGAACCATTATGGTGATGGACTAGGCTGATGAACGATTCAGCATGCAATGAATGGGACACCTCTGAAAAAGAAAAGGCAAGCCAGTGCTCTTAGCCTGGGATCAGTGTAATATTCATCAGCGGGGGGGAGGGACTTTACCACTACATGGACTTCCACTTTTTGTTGGTCCAGTAAACGCCACCAGGGTCAATGGACCCACCATTCAGAATGGAAATCCAATGCAGTTTCTGCCTGGCAAGTCTGCCAATGGACTTTGTAGGCCCATGATTTCTATTGCAATTAAGCAATGCATTTGGAAGTTTCTATTTTGATTTCAACTGCAACAAGCTTGCTCTTTCAGTGGTCTGACATTTGAAGGTAGGTATTAAAGCTGGTGGAAAATTTTCCTTAAAAGAAATTAATCTGGAAAATTCTGTCAAGAAAGTAAACCCACAAAACTTAAAAAAAAAAGTTGAAGAAAACTATTCAAAAGCTTCTGTAACATTATCTCTGACAAACAAGGGCACATAATAAAGAGGAGATGAAACAGCCACCCCTCAAATTTCTATCTTCACCTTTTACCTGACAGCACCCAAAAGATCTCTCTCAAACCATTACTTTGCTCCAATGAGCAACCATCATCTGGAGCAGTACTTGCTCACATAGCAAGCGAAGAGAAATGTTCCTTCCTTGGTGTCTACAAGTAAACACACCAGCAAGAAGAGATGCTCCTGGCTGCATCCCTGAAATAGGCATCTCCAGGTTCACCTGCTCTCAGGGGGAAACACCATTTCACTAGTCTTTCATCCAGAATAAGAATGAAGGGAATGAGTGGGTGTAAAAAAAAAAAAAAAAAAGAATTACAAGGGCCTCCAGAAAAGGAATCTGGTTTCTGCTTTTCTAATGGGACTATTCTGCTTCTTTTGGGACTCAAAGGCCCTTTTGATGTGCTTCTAGAGATGTATCATCATGGCCCTTTGTATACGGATGCAAGGTCTGGACTGCAGTCTCAGCCTGAAAGAGCCAAGTACAAGATACTGCCTCACCTGCCTCTTGCCCTTTTGCTTTGACCCGATACAGTAAGGTCTGTCACCACCTCCTGCCTCATCCAGGGTTTTATTCTGATGGGAAGACGAGGAAACCCCAAACCAGGGGAAATTTCCCATTCAGGATTTTCATACAGCTCACCTTTGGTTTTGGGGTTTTTTTGGGTTTTTTTACTGCCTGTTGGTAGTTCAGCATGGCCTGCGAACTTTGTGCCAAGTGTGAAGGTAACACAGCACTGCATATCAGTACCTTGAATCACCACCATCACCTAGACATTCATTCCTGCAGTGCTCATCACATATCTGAACTGCACAGTTCAATTGCTGCTCAAGGCTTTCACTAGGGAAGAAGGTACCTTTTGTTTCCTGGGCTGTACTGGTTCTGGTTTGTACTAAGGTACTTGAGAAATGTTTCTCTAAAGACTGCCATGATAAAATTGACAGAAAACAGAAAAAAAACCCACAACTATCTCCTTCTCCATCAATCTTACTAAAATCATCTAAGCACATTTCATCCTAACTCACTGTGCTTCAGGAAGTGACAGAAAATAAACTTTGTGTCAAGGATCCAAACCCAAGAAACTCTTTGCTCTCCCAAGTTGCACAAGACCCCCTGTAGAAGGAAAATGTAAAGATGTGCAGGCTTGTTCTGTACATCCAAGTGCTGTGTTCAAAACTAACATTGCACCATTGATCACAACCCATTGATCTTGACTGTTCAGCCAGTTTCCAAACCACTTTAGTGTTGACTTCCTAGTCCATACTTTATCAGCTTGTCTAAGAGGATGTTAGCGGAGACAATATCAACATCCTTGTTATAATCAAGAACAAACAACATCCTCTGCTCTACCCTCATCCATCACACCAGACATTTCATTGAAGAAGGCTATTATGTCGGTCAGGCATGATTTCCCCTCCATAAAGCCATGCTGTTTACTCATGATGACCTCCTTGTCTTTAATGTATTTGGAGTGATTTCCAGGAGAATTTGCTCCATCATCTTCCCATGGATGGAGAAGCAGCTGAAAAGCCTATTATTTACCTGGACCTTCATCTTTCTTTCTCTAGTTTATATAACACATGGCAGGAAGCTCACTTCAGTTCCAGAGGCTTTTGTGGTCTCTCTGACTTTTGTCTTATCTGCCTCTTCTTCTGATTATGGATTCGCCTTGCCAGGCACTGCCTATCTAAAGTAGGATCCTTTCAGACCCAAGGCAACACTGACTATCAGTTCCTGGGAGGGAAAACTCAAAGATTCAGGGATGAAAAATACCAGGCACCTACTAGTTGCTGAGCCCCTCCCACACAGCCCCTACAGTGTGGCAGACACTATGATGGACAAAAGCTGCTGTTGAATACTCAGAACAATCTCCTAATGCAGCTGTCTAAGCTGCATCACTCAGTCCTGTGATCTTTAATTCTACCTTTTTCCTGCTCATCCTGACATCCAGCTCACTTGCTGGTACACAGCACAAATGGCTCTGATGTGGCATGCCTATGACAATAATTTTTGAAGAGCAGTTCCTTCAGAACATATCAGTGGAAGACAATTATCATGGTCTGCATTACTGAAGAATGTAGTCATTCTGTAAAGGCTGAGGTGCCAACACAGTATGCAACACACAGTCCTATAGCATGAGGCAGCTCCTGCCTGAAGACCTTATCATCTCTTCAAATGGATACATCTGGCATACCCTCTATTTTGCAGATGAGGAGCTAAATTCATGGCTAAGGTCACAGGAAGTCCTTATCAGAAAATGGAGCAACATCCCAGCTTCTGGAATTGTTGTAACAGACCTGTCTGATAAGAACATATTCCTTGGTGAAAAACGCACAACTTAGAACTGTACCCAAACTATAAGACTAGCTGCCTCATTCAAAAAGTAACACTCAAAAAGTAAAAGTGATCATGTTCCTCATACATACCTCAAACTCCAGATAGTGGTCCTTAAGTTTGTAATCCTCTACTTCCTTGCCTTTGAGCTTCTTGTCAGGAGGATACGAGCGGTGTTCAGCAAGCTCAGTGGAGATCTGTTTCAGCTTAGTTTCATGGGACTTCAGCTGTTCATCCTTGAAAAACACATTAGGCACTTAAGAGACAGAATCTAAAATATTTGATAAGCAAAGGAAAATAAAGAGATCCCTGTACAATAATACCAATTAGTTTCTTTTTCTTTTTCTCCTTCTCTCCTTTAACTAATCATAATCAGATTGATAAGGTCTGTTATCCCAGAGCTCTGTCCCCAACAGCTCTCTCAAAGGCACCCAAGCAAAGTGGCCAAGTTTGCAGAAAAACTCGGCAGCTAGCAGATGCCACCGGGAAGGATAGCAAACCTGTCATCCCTCGCCTTGCTGAGAGCAACGGAAGCAGCTTGCTGCAGAGCATTACTGACAACATGACACTTCTGCTCTAATACATTTTTTGGCAAATTAATTAAGGCTGTTGTGTATGCAGTCAGACCAAGGACAGAATGAGACAGGCAAACACCGTGCCTCAGGTCTTTGCAATGTAAACGTAGCTTCTTCCATGACAGAAAGAACATGAAGTCAGGGCTCCCTCCATTTCTGCACCACCAAACGCTCTCTGGTCCGCAGCTTCCATTTCTTCAGAACAATATAGTGCATCCAGAAGAGGAAGGGCTGTCCCATCCCCAAAAGGTATTTCGTTTTACTAAGCTGCTATCAGCTTTTATCCCACTGTGCAGCTGGAGAAAGTGAAGAGCTACTACTCCCCCTTTTGAGGCAATTTCCTTTATCATAATCCCAGGCCCACTCACTTCCTCCAGTCCATCTGTCAGCTAACCTTCCCTCTGCTCAGAAGGTTTCCAGCTCCTGCAGCATGGCCTTCTGGCCATTTATAGGCTTGGATCTGAATTTATGTTTAAATTAGGTAAGTCCAAAATAGAGACATGATTATGCAGATCTCAGTGAGCTAGGCAGAGTCATAACAGCGGGTAGTACCCAGCTCAGGTCGTGTGCATGCACCTAGTCTCAGAACGGGGGATAGCTGCCAGTAGTTGTCCCCCTGTGGTGTGACTGCACAGCTTGCAGCTTCAAGCCTAGCTTGGACATGCCTGCACAGCACTGTGAGTCACACCAGGGACTGAGCCTCTTGGCTCACTGAGCTGGAGCCGTAGAAAAGAGCAGAAAGAGGGAAAACTTCTACAGAGGATGATAGTTGAGCCCCAGCTAATCTTGGGTTTCAACTCTTTTGCAAGAGAACCGAAGTAAAAAAACATGTGGGATAATCTGCCTCCGCCTATACATCGTAGGGTTCAAACCACTTGCTATTGGCTGCCAAAAATTCCTGTTGCTGTTAGTAACTACCCTGGATATGCTTGCTCTCTCTATTAGCGCCCAATCACTCTTTACATTGTGCTGAATCCCTGGTCTCAGTGACATCCTGTTGCAGTGAGTTCCATAGCCTGATGACAGGAGGTCTTTGAGCAGCTATTGATTTGGCACTTGTAATTTTCAGGGCAGCAGCCCTTTGCAGCTTTTGTGTGTGCGTGCACATTCTCAGAAAAAAAGGGAAAAAAAAACCCCAAACCCTAGTAGATATTTTCTAGTCTGGTTGTTCCTTTATATATAGCTTTGTCACATCCCTCTTTGGTTGGACTAACCAAGATCAGACACTGATTTGCTTTTGAAAGGAAACTTGGTACAATGATCTTGCAGAACCTGTCATGTCCAACCTCTCTCCCTCACCCACGTTAGGTTCTCACTGCATACCGACTTTTTCCTGACCAGGAACAGGCCCTTTGAAGAAGTTCTGTCCATCATGATTTGGCCCACAGAATCCTAAACAGCACCCACAGGGATTTTACAATTCATATTTTTTTGTCTGCCAAATGAGAAGCAGCCTGCTGGCAGCTTTTCCACACTGACAGATAAAAGCAAACATGTTTCTGCTTGCCTTTGAATTTATCTGCTTTGAACACTTCACATTCTTCTGCCTTTAGCTAAAACAGCTTATCTTATTCCACTTTTCGTGTCTCCCCTTCTTCAAGACACAAACCACAGGGCTGTGTTCTATTTCTTTCCTTTCCAGATTAAATGGAAATAATGAGACTAGGAAACAACGTGCTAAATGGAACAATCACACAGAACAACAGTGAGTAAAAAAGCTTTTTTTTTTTGGTGACTGGGGGTAAATTACTGAAGTGCCATACAGTATTTTTAAAAAGGCATGCATGATCAAAAGGTAAAACCACAAGGATGAGACAAGTTAGTATATACTGTATGAGACACGTTTCAAACTTCAACCCACAACAGAAGATGGAAAGTCGGTCACCACACTGTTAGAGGAAAGGCTACTGCCATGGAGAGGGAAAAACTAGGGGTGACATAAAAACCCCAGCCCTCTTACAGAAATGCAGATTATGAGATAATGGTTTCCAAGGAGTGTTGCTAAGATATGAAGATGGAGAAAAAAAATAAAAAAGCATTTAAGATGCAATCCAGCATGGGCAGATGACTTTAAAAACTAAAGGAGGTTACTCATAAAGTATATACCTAGGACTGGGATCTCTGTCCTAGATCACCAAGGACTTGCCACCCCTGCCACTCTCAACCTGATCAATGCAATCAATACCGTGTTCCTGCCAGTGCAGGAAGAATTGCAGGCATGCATCACAGCTCCCAGAGTACACAGAACTATGGGCACAAGCATCAGACACAGCCTGTCTGAAACAAGCAGAAGTAGGTGTTTTTTCGTGCAAGAAGTAGTAGAGCTGTGAAACTCCCTGCCACAGGATGCTGCGGAAGCTAAAAGCTTATGTGATCACAAGGGGAGACCAAAGATATTCACGTAAGAGACAGCTTATAAATACACATTAAACAAGAAATCCCTGAGCTGGTAAGAGTTGGAAAAGTATTTTTGGAGAAATATAACTGATGCTTGCTGATGTGTCAGCTTTCACCTTTTATCACCCTAATAAGCCAAAGACCATTTTTCCTGAAATGAGTAGCAATAAACAAGCATATTCAAAAAACACCCCACCAGCCAGACAGTATTTGAAATGTCCTCTGCAGAGCCATAACCATGGAATGGAAATTCTATATCTGGTACTAGGAACACTAGTGATTGTTATTTTCTCTGAAAATGTAAAACAATTATATTCAAGTCTGCTCCTTCTCTCTCCCCACTTCAAAACTTGCATCAGAAAACGAGCAGAGATTTACTGCGCAAGCCTCCCTTTCCTAGGAATGCGAGTGATAACAGCCTCAAAACAATGCTGAGGACCACCATCCAGCCTCCAACCAGCCAGAGAAATCACTATCACCTACCCTCCACGTAAAGACGGCTCACCTGAGATAGCTTTGTTGTGGTGGCTGGCAGGAGTGGGCGACTGAACTTCTTCTGAGAGCCAATTGCCGCTGGGAACGGCGGTGCAGAGAAGACGGCAGCCACACAGTTGATCTTGTTGATCCAGGTCTGCATTTCTTCTTGGCTCCTGGGGAAGAAACACATTTTAACCACCTGCTGACTCAGCCTCCTCTACCTTTCCCACCCCTTCAATGGCATTTTAAAGGCGAAAATAACCAGAACTGGACAACTCTTGGAGTCTGCTCGGTCTTCCAGTCTGTCTTTGCAAGTGGCCAGTGTCATGTATCTCAGCCACAGACTGGCTCATGATTAGGTCCATAACTCACCCTAGCATACATCTTTTCCTAATCCAATCCAAATGACACAGGCGACAGAAACAACCAATGCCCTGATTCAGACGTATGTCCTAAGGTCTTAGCTGTGCCGGACACCACTGATTTCTAAGAGGTTTCACATGAATCTCAGTAGAAAAGGGCTCATGCTCAAGACTGATGCGCTAATGTCAGAAGCAAAAGGCAGGTCATCTGCTCTGTCTCGATATCACAGCTTGAAGATCCTAATCAAATTATTCTTGTATTAAGTGGTAACTTTGTTTCTGAACAAAGCGTATATTCCAGAAAGACATCCAGCTAGGACCTGATGACATCAGGAGACGAACAATCCAAGACTGCCTTTGGTCATTTGTTTCAATGATTAATCACCCTGACTATTATAAGTTTGTGCCTTGTTTCCAAATTGAATTTCCTGCAGCTTCAGCTTCCAGCTGCTGCATCTTGTTATGCCTTTCTCAGCTAGATTAAAAAGCCTCTTAAAACTTGATGCTTCTTTCTCATGAACTACTTTTGCACTGTAATCAAATCACTACTTAATCTTATTTCTGATCAAATAAACAGATTGAACCTCTTAACCTGTCCAGGCATGAATTTATCCCTCCTTCAGCACTGCTTTCTTCCCTCAATGACTGGCAAAAAACAGAAGTGAGCACTTACTGGGCTTGGAAAAGCAGGACCCTCCAATCTGCTGTTTTAAGCTTTAGGACATTGGGTTTCTTCTCATAGTCTGTTGCCTTGGATGCCAGCGCATGATGCACACTAACTGCATTCTTCAGATCTTCCTCCGACAAAGCCTTTTCTGGCTTGTATTCATCCTGCAGAAGTTAATAGGGGGAAAATGGCATCTTATTTCTCCATGTGCTACTCCTTTTTCCTTAACTTAGAGAAAAACCTTGTTCCATAGTCATAAATAGGATTAAGGTACATTAAATGAATGAAATCTGACTTGAGCATTTGAGAGTGGTTTCCACTACCTTTAACATCTTTTCCTTTCTCTTTCTTTCTCTTTTTTGATCTCTTTGTAAGTGAGAAAAGTAGTTCCACTATGTGCTTGAGAAGGAGAGGCGTAAACAGGGAGCATTCAACTATCACAATAGCTGTGGACTATTAGCCTTCATTTAAGGAATCCTCCACAGCCTGTTCCCCACCCCCATTGCTCAATTGCTTGGGTTCTCAGCCTCCACTGCTCAATTTTCATTTCTCCCAAACAACTACCTTTGTATGTCCTCTTGGCAGGCCCTCACACAGAGGAAAATCTCCCTCATTAGTCTCCACAAAGCAAACATATCAAACTCCTTTAAATCTGTCTGCTCAGGGTCTGCAAATGGCAAGCACAGCACCATCCACACCACCATTCCTAACACCAGATGACAAAAGCAGGGAGTCAAACTCCTCTGTGTTGCAAGCATTAGCCTTGGAGCAGTCTTTGATCTCCTGAGTGAAAGACCCTGGACGAGGGCACCAACAGGGTGTAGCCACAAGTCTAGTTTAAAGCCTACCTGACCACAAACGGCTTGGGAAAGCCAGGACCTTTTCCAAGGAAAAGTCACTTGCCAGCAATGCTGCATACGCCTAGTTTCTGGAGGACAGGCCAAAGCAATCTGCCATTGACTCTATTTCTTCCCCTTAGTACATCACAAAAATCAGTCTCATCTGAAACACCCACCAAGGGAGGGGGTGTGACAGCTGCAAAACAGAGGAATAGTTCCCTGTTGGCGTGTGGTAACTCCTGATCCCTCTACTTGAACACAAGAGTTACAAGATGAGGTTTAGCAGGCAGCAGAGTGCAGGACATAGAGCATGTGCAGGGACAGCACTAGCTTAAGCACCCAGAGAGGCACCCACCCTGAAGAGGAGCTGGTTAACATGCATGAATTGGTTTACAGGGATTATCTGACAGCACACAGACCAGGGCTGCACCCAGGGGCAACTACACCACTGCGGAAGGCATCTGCTCTCAGCCAGACTGGGTTTGGTCAGGGCTCTCCAGGATGAGTTTCAATGGATAGAGTGACCATCTCATACAAGGGAGGACAAAGCATCCTGCTCATCTCATCCTTCCTCACAGGGGCCCAGCTATTGCAGGCTCAGGGCTTGCTGCTGCTCAGACCCTTCACCTGAGATGCAGCTAACCAGCAATACTGTTGCAGCACCACATCCACCTGGGGCCAGACAAGGACACAAGCCACCACAGATCTGATAGGCCTAGCAGAAAGGCAGAGCACTGCTGCACAGATGAGCAAAGGGTAGCCTTCAACTTTAACATGTGTGACAAAAGGGGCTTTCAACTGAGCGAAGGTGAATGTCCTTCCTCTCTCATAGCTTGAGTCCCAGCAACCTTTCGAGGGATCTCCACATCATGTTGGCCGCATGCTTACGGCACTCTCTAAACTTTCTTCAAGGAAGATCTGGGAAAGTCTCTAGCTGAAGGACAAGAACTGGAGAAGGCTGTCTAATGTCTGGCTGAGACCCATCTTGAAGATGGAAGAAGCCAGCCATCAATATCCTACCTTCACAGGTTCAAAAGCTGATTTATTTGGTAGTAGTTTGGGGGAAAGGACTGGCTCCACAGTACAGGGAGACTGGGAAAACTACAGGGCCAGGAAATGAGCTTACACAGACTTCAGAAACATGAGAAATATCCTGGCTTTCCTTAAGTTACTGCCTAGAGACAGTGTCACCTATTGCCTTGCCTGTTGTCTCCCAGCTTCCTCTGTGAGATGCATCCAATGTCCACAACCCACACTGGTGTCTAACCCTGTTCCAGCAGAACTCCACATTTGGGCAGTCCCAGAAGCAGTCCTGGCTAAGAACCCCTCCTTACCCACAGATAGCATTCACTATAATCCTTGCTAATCCCACCGGATCAGCTGGCTGCAATCTACCTTGACAGATGGGGCTCTGCCAGCTCCTCCAAAGGTGCTGATCAGCATACCGGAAATGTCTCCGCATAGTTGGCCAGCCTCAGAGAAGACTGGAAGGACATGAATGTGCTGTCAAAATTCCACCTCTAAGGTCTCCAACTCTTTTCAGCTGGCAGGGATGCTTCAGGGAGCGCGAACATCCGTATCTCCTATGCCATCAAGGACAGCACATGCTCTGATGTGCTAGTGTCAGTGTGGAGGCTGAGCTAAAACGGAAGGCAGCTCAACTAAAGTTAGACCATGCCAGTGGCAAGAAATAAATAGGAAGCCAAAAAAGAACTCTGACCTTTCTATCAACTGAAGGCTGATGCGAGTGCTGCACACAATGCAATGACATGCTGAATTCATCTTTCTCAGACTCCTGGAGAATGACTTTACCACATCCTGCTGACCTGAAGTCAGCATGTTTCTAAATCCATTTTTGATAGACCAGAGAGTGGTATTTGGCTTTTTATCCATCAGCATATTGTGGGTGGATATCTCCCTCAGTTGCATGTGACAGCTGCAGAATTCTCTTTCAGAATGTCTCGTCACTGAACACTTTACATCATTCTGGTCTTTCTTTTTCTTTAATATTTCAATAGAGAAAACACATTTGAGAAAAGTTACACAAAACCACCTGAAAGCCCGCAAGACTGTTAAGTGTAACATCAAAGAGCAAAGATATTGCAAACCTCACAGAAGAGTCTGAACAAAACATGAAGGTCCATGTCCTGCACTGCTTGCCCAGAAGCAATGTCTAGCAAGGAAGCAAGGTCAGCCTTACGTCTTCTCCTTATAAGCCTCTCTTTCGTATGCACATCACATCCCATGTCAGTCAAGTGAACAGACATTCTGTCAAGCTCCTACTTCACAATTTCCTCTTGCTATGAACAGAAAGCAGGAAAGTAACCTTGGCCTGGGATGCCTAGGGACAAGGCCAACATCCCAAACATGTCAAACCTCTCATTTTATGTAATACTGTGCAGGCATATTTAGTTGGCTAATTGTGAACACTTCCACTGAGCGCCTCCAGTGGCATTTGTGCTCACTAATTCAGAAACTATCTCTCTTAAATCACTTACTTAAAAATAAAACAACATGCAGCACAAGAATTGGCACTGGAACAGTTCCAGTGGAAAAAAAAAAACCAAAAAATATGTGGGCATGGAGACAAGACGGCCCAAATAAACTCCCCAGTAAATCTCAAGTGACCACCATCTACAAACCACTCTCATACATGGACCTTGACAGCAGAACAAGGAGAACCGGACTACTGTGCAAACAGAATGACAGCAGAATCGGGATCACACTGCCCACTGGGGGAATCACAGCTGCTACAAACAATATTTATATTATGGTAGTGTCTTGAGGGAATAGCTGAGTTACAGATAAACACAGAAAACAACACTGCAGAGGTTGGTACATGTGTTTGTGTTTATATAGCACCTACAACAGTGAGATTTCAATGTCCCCCGCTTGAACAGCACTCAGTGCAATGGACCCATCACCACAGATTTTACCTCCACAGATATGTAGATAATATACAGATAATGAGAGAAAGAGGGAAAATGAGTGTTTGTATATGTGAATGCACCCTGCCCAATAGCATTCCATAATCAGGAGAGAAGGCAGAGGCAAAAAAATCTTCTGCCCATGACTACTGCCAGAGCTATGCATTTCTACCAAGAAATCAAGCTGTTCTAAAATGCTGCTGAATTTTCTGAAATTAGGATAATTTCAGTGTCCTGATATTGCAAAATGAAATAACAGCTCGTCAACTTTTACTACAACAGCTTGACTTAGCTGTGTATTTTAAAACCCTGTCACTCTCAACTTGTGCAATACCACGTCCCTAACTGAGCAAACTTTATTTCAGGGCTGAAGCAAAGCTTTGGGGAGGCTCAGAGGTGCCCCATCATTCTGCGAGTGAGTCACTTCCCATCAGGCCCTTTTGTCAACCTCATATTAAAGTACAAGGCACTAAAGTAAAAGCTTTGCTTGTCACTGTGCTACAGTAAGATAATTTCAGTGCAAGTGTCTTCAGGACCAAGTGGGAGAGTGCAGCTTTGCAAAGTAACTACCCTGTAATCACTGAATTCAAATACTGTGACAAGTGCAAGACACACAAATAACAAATAAGTAAGAACTCCAGCAATGCATTTCATTCTTCAAAAATGCACTCAGATGTGAAATTACTCTCTTGCTGGTTAGAGTGGGAAGAGCACCATTCTGCAGAGAATTTGCATGCCACATCAGCATGTCTACATTTTGTTAAACAGCATTTTAAACTAATATGTCACTGATACTCATAAAAATGAGTACTTAATTATGTACTTAATTATGTATATGAGTACTTAATGTGAGTACTTAAAATTATTAAGACTCTACAATAGACAGCATCTCCATTTCTTCCCCTAGCAGACTTATCCCCCCTCAAAGATCAAATAAGAAATTAATTAATGTGCTATGGACAAGGAGCCTTTTCACTTCTTAGGGGACCGTGCAGTCTTCTCAGGTGACTGAAAATTATTTATTTCAGAAATCAAAGCAAATTACTCAAATCTGCCATGAAGGCCACTTTAGCAAAATCTGAACCTGCTGCTAGCAAAAGGACCAGAGGGAAGTCTCAGCTTGGTTCTGGTCTCTTGCACTGGCTTTGAGTATGTCACAGCCAACCTCAGCCCAAACCTTCCATCCTGACTGCAGATTGTTTTGTCTGTTTCAAGATTTCATCCCTCTTAAAAAGGTACTGCACTAAAACTATCTACCTTGCAAACCTCATGCTCTAAGAATTTGAATCAAAGCACTCTCTTTTTTCTAAGACACTATCCAGGTTGGATCCAGTGAAACCAACAACTTCAGAAAGCCACAGCAAGGGAGGAGGAAACAGATGTTGAAACTGTGCTCCTGCTAGTTGTAAATCGTAGTGGAAACATAAAAAGGCTTTCAAAGGAGCACACTTCTGCAATACAGGACAATCTGGACAAACATCACCTACTTCATTAATATTTCACCTACACTGGGGGCCAAAAAGTCTTAACAATCTACTTTGCTGCTTTCATTTATTTGATTTTGACAGTTCTCACCCATATGTTGCATTTCACATACCAAGAGTACAGTTAAAACTGTACTATAATATATTTAAACTTGTGCCAAAAGACTTGAAGGGTTTCAGCTGACTTTTTTTTTAGACTTCTTGCTGTCATGGAGCAAAGTTTATTAGAAACCAGTGTCTCATCTTGCTTTGGGGAGAAAAAAAGTATCCTCTTATCCTTCCATTTTGCTGGGGAGTAGAAGCTACAGATTCCTACCAAGGCCAAGCTGCCATTCCATAGTTTTGCAGCTGGTCTTGCAGGCACTGCAGAAATGAATACCATGAATAGATGGGAAAGGAGGACAGCCTTACAGGACGGGAAGTCATATGTATGAAATGCCATGTTAAAAGCAGCCTAGAGGAATGTATGCAAGACACAGAGAGATAATGCTGTCTTTGCTGGTGAAGCTGGCTATTTATTCAGCTGTGATTGACAGCAATGATATAACCAGAAGTGATAGGGTGCACATGTGGATGGGGACAATGGAACTGAACTTTAAAAGTGTGAAAAGAGGGAGATGTCAATGAAAGGATTCATGCCTAAATGTGTGTATAAACAGGGTAAGGGGCAGAGAGAGCAGCTACGCTGTGTGTCAAAGGGAAAGGAGCCTGGAGGTGGGCTGTGAGAGCGGAGAGGATGCCTGCTGCTTTATCCCTCTTTAATTAGTTTCCAAAAGACAGTGATTTCCCATACCTTCTGCAAGTACAGGACCGTTCCCTTCAGCACAGCATAAAAGGTTTTCCAGCCTCGCTTTCCTCGGGGAGCTGCAAAGAAAACAAATGAAAACCCATTTAACTTGGATCCATTTTTACACTTTGTCTAGGCAACAGGAGAGCTACATTAATCCTGTGTTAAACCTCCTTTGTACTCTCCTTCTCAAAGGACAATGCAACTCAGCACAGTGCCTGCACATACCTGCTGTGTGAGAGAGTAATAAACCAACTCTGACGACAGCCCTGGACTGGATCAGAAGGGAGCAGCAGCAATGCAAAAAGCAGGTCAGAGAGATCCAGTCTTTGTGCTTTTGCAGGTAGGAGGACACTGCCCCTACAGAGTTAGGTCTGTGCTCTGTGCTCTGGCAGTTCTCAGAAGGAAATACCCTTTCTCCATGCCACAGCAAGCTGGCAGGCACTGCTCAGGACCAACAGGACACTGCTTAGAAAGCAGTGCCTCTCAAGAGCATCCTTTCCCCTTGCCACTGCTGCACACCTGAGTTGGCACTGAGTGGTCAGACAGCTTCTGGTCCCTTTCCCTGTCCCTGCAGCTGCGGGGGAAGCCAAAGAAGAGAAAGGAGAGGGGAGTCAAACAGAATGCTAATGAAAAAAATAAAATCATCCCTCAAGAAACCTAAAAAGGGGGATTCAGCATGATTGCTGCAGTCTGAAATTCAGCTGCAATAGAAGGAGAGAAAGCACAGGATGTACAGTCACAGCCAGAGACTAGAAGCCTGCATCTAAGCTCCACCAAACATGTACCACTTACCTGCATCCACTTGCCTCTGTACCGAACTTAGTAATTCACGCATGCCTAAAGCATCACCCTCAGAAAGGTATCCCATTCTGATCTTAAGACAGCAAGTGATGGTGAAGAGGTTATTAGTCCCTTGCTCCAGAGGTTAATCATTCTCATCTTACATAACGGGCCTTGTTTCTAATTGGTATTTGTTTGGACAGCTTCCAGCCACTAGCCTCTGTTACATCCTTCTCCTCTAGATTGCCTAAGTGCTTCAGCCCGCAATAATCCTTTCCTGAGAAAATACCTATAGCATGCTAGCACATCACTTCATTAGCAATCCTGCACAGGCCAATCTGTAACAAGTCCAGTAGGAAATGAAATATGAAAAGGTCTAACTGACTTTAAAAAAAAAAATTACCTCATTTTATTCCCAATGAGTCAGAGTCAGAATGTAACTTTTTCAAGAGCTGCATGACAATGAGAGGTAGGCCCCCAAGATGTACAGTAACTTCTGAAAACAAGGCCCTAATTACATTACTCATAAAAGGATTATCCCCAGAATGCCAGCATCCAGTGTGCTGAATAATGAGCAATTCTGATTACTTATAATTACAGAAATAATTTAATAAAGGCAGCTAGATACAATTACTTACTAAGGTTAAATAAACAGAAGTTTAATAAAGAGGAATCTATCCAAAGCATCCAGTCATCACAAAGAATGAGGTCAGTTTGATTTTGACATCTCTGGATTTAGCTGTCCACCTGTCAGCCTCCAGCTTGCAAACTCCGACCTCCAATTGTACCTTCTAAATTATATTAGCAAAACATGCAAACACCAAAGAGCTTAGCCAAGCTAGGAGACAGTTGCAGTTAATGGAAACCCATCACAAAGTCAGACTTTGCCTTCAGGATTTAGCTGAGGAGTGTGAATCCTAAGTAGGTGATCATCAAGAACTGGGAAAAATATAGCTGCTCTGAGTAGCAGATCAATAGAAAACAAACAAATGAAGATGTCCAAACAACTGAACACACACAGGTGAATCAGAGACCTTCGATAATTAGTGCATCACAAATGTAAGTAGGACAAGAAGGAAAGAAGATAATTAAAGTAAGAGGCACAGCAGGTTTGCTACAAAGAAGGGGCAGAGAGGAACAGCATAGTGTAAATCTGGCTGTTACCAAAAGCTGCTGTACTTCATTGGATACATGACTCAAGGCTGGCAAAGGAGGGAAGGAACAGTTACAGCATCTTCCAAGTAGAGATAAAGAACAGCCTTTTTTTAAAGACAGACCCAGAGGCAAGGGGAGATTTGAAACAATCTGGTGTCACACAAAGAAGAGGAGAATTACCAAACTACTACAGAACAGCTACTGTAATTCACTCGAAATTGTTTTGTCTTCTGTAAGCCACGAGATTCATTTTCTTTTAATACAAAAGATTCATGTTGCTTGCTGTATCATATTATTCATTATGCTTACGTATTAGAGCTGCTACAAGTGGGACTGAACATTGTAAATCCCAGCCTAATAGTGTAAGTGTGATAATCCAATTGCTGCATTGTTTGTTATTGCTGCAATTTCCCCTGATGAAGCAGTACTATTTGCCTTGAGAAGCACATGGGCTCATCGTAAGTGGCATTATGCATGAATAACAAGAAAATGAGACGTTAAGACTGAAAGATACTCACTTTTCTTTCCATCCATATCTGCATGGATTTTCCGAGCCAGAAATCCAGTTTTATACACAACAGCATTCGGGTCATGAGGGATGTCCAGGAATGGGTTATTTGAGTTGCCAATTCGACTGACAGCCTTTGTCTGGCTCACATTATCCTTTTCATCTGTACCATCTGAGTGAGACTTTTTCTTCTCTTCTTCATCCCTTAAAAAGCAGTAAAAAACAAGCATGAATGAGGGACTAACCAGCAAAGTTTCATTTCAGTTATTCTTGCACATTCCTTGTCAAAACACACCTCTCTCTTTATAGGGGACCCTATTCAGAAAAGAACTTCAGATATGCACCAAAATAGTCAGATTATAGCAAAACTTTAGTTCATCTACTTTACTAGCATAAGGACATAGGAGCCAGATCTTTGAAAAAGCCCAATTTTCCCTTTTACGGTCTCAAAACGCAGGATTTCAAGACTGTTCTGTGTCCTCCAACTTCACCTTTTTTTAATTCTACTTATTTGAGTGTTAAAGTGGGAAATATTTGCCTGCTGGGCTCTCCTGAAAAATCTCCAATTTCTTCATGAGTTCACAAGTAGATGAAAAGAATTGGATTACTACAGATCACTGTGGCTTAGCCCTTAACTTAGCATATGAAACACAGACTCTACCTCCTTTTCTTTATTTTCCTCTGCAGACTAGCATAAAATTAGTAATTTAAAAATAAAAACTACACTAGGTGAATTACGTTATCTGTATTTTAGAAACAAAATACTGCTCAAAATATTACTTATTAGGGGAATGAATTCAACACAGGGACAACAATGCAACCCTTTTCAGCAACTCGCAAGCATTGCCTGGCTAATAAATGCCTTTTTACATGTCATAGCCAAAGGCAAAAAGGATCAGGCAACCTAGAAACAAAGGGTGTCCATCACAAGAGTAGGACGATGGTTTCCAGAGAACAACAGGCCACTGAATCTGGGTGGATGGTGTATTTGGAGGAACCACAGTTAGTGTCAAATTAGAGAGCAGCTCTGTCCTTTTAAGTCCCCACTCATTCTTCTCCAGGTGACTGGGAAAGGTGTGTCAGGGAGGATGCAGGCTGTCATTGGAAAGTCATGGTAGCAATGCTTCTCCTAAGACCAGCATATGATGTAAAAAAATCAGTATCACTTGAGTGTAACGATGGCTGATGGGGAGGTGTACTTCAAGCTGCTGCATGTCGCAGCACCCAGATGGTTCGCAGAGAGAGAAAGTTCAGGCAGACCTTCCAATCACATGTATATATTCAAAGGCATCAAATCAGATGAGGACTAGCAAGGAGTATGCCAGTCCAAAAGGTCATGTGGGGGCACACTGCAACCATGCCTGCTTATGGGAATGACTATCCAAAGAAATGTCCTCCAAGAACTGCAGGCTAGAGCAACAATGTGTGTTATCCTGATCTCTGCTGAAATGGTCTTCTGGGAAATAACTTAGTCTGAGGAGATACGAGGATAATAGATTGGTTTGACAACAAGGAGACCAAATCCAGAGACACGAAGGCTATATTAGTGAACTCAGCAGTGCCAGGGAATGTTCCCAGGCATCTGACTTTGATCACTTCATATTACTTTGTGCTTGGCATGGTCTCAGCCCAGCGCACTGCCAAACTATTTACAGACACCATTTAGGAATCAGCACAGTTAAAAACCACCGCAACAGCCAGTATAGAAGCAAGCATCTTTTGTAAGGTAAGACTTCTCAACTGTACAGATACGGATACACATCAACGTTCAGCCTGAGACTCATGCAAAAGTGCCAGACATGTGATTTAGTTGTATAGAAATGGTGTAGCCAAGGGGTGCACCATACCTGTTGTCTTGCAAGGTCCTCTGATTATGAGAAACAAAACTTTTACTTGAAGACTCGATTCCTGCAAGGAAGAGCAGTCCTTGCATGTTTCAGCCTATTGATATATGTTTTCCCAGTCAAGAACAGAATGATTTGCAAAAAACCTTTCTTGGTCAAAGTATGCTTTGGTTGAAGCCCTCAAGTGTAGGAATTTCTGACAATTTTGATTGCTGCATCCTTCCTATATCTACTGCACTTACTAGCTGCTGGTATGTCTGTGGACACACAGTATGACACACGTTTCTTAGATATTTGTCTGTTCCAGGAGCAAGTTCTATCAACATAAGTCTATGGCACCTAATCCAGACTAAAACTTCTCACTGGCCATAAACTCTTGGGTTGATTTGTCACACTGAAGTGCCTTGTGAATTCTGGGATCTCAGCCAAGGACACAGTGGATTTCTCCTTGTCAGCAGAAACCTACTGCAGTAAATGGCTTAGCATTTTTTTTTTTAATAAGATATCTCCTTTGGAGCTATGGGAGTAAATTATCCTATAGTGATAACTGTCCTGTGGGAATGCCCTTATCCAAGCGGCCACAGGTGGAGTGATTAGCAGTCCTGGGGATGATGGAAACCACTAGTGTTGAGGGCAGTGCTCTCGAACTTCGCATCTCTGAGGAAGCTATTAAACAGGAATTCTTTAAAAGACAAATGCAGACAGGCCAGACAAGGACAAAATGCCATCTGCTGTCATGACTGCTGGTAGCACTGAACAAACCTTTAATTGGTCCTTTAATCTATCACTGAAAATGGGACATCGTTGAGTCTCAGAAGCCCCAGGCACTTTTGAGAGCTGAGTGCTCGGTCAAGATGCATGAGATACAGGAGTCAGTCTGTAAGATGCAAGGGAACCACAGAGGCAAGGGGGACTCATTACATAGAACAAGAAATGGATGAACAACTGAGAAAACAGAACTAAAGGGAGCTTCTCTCACTCTCTGATCTTGAATATGAAGCACCAGTGGAAACAAAACCAGGAGATCTGGGACTCACTTATTAAAATACTCAATTTTTAACAGTGGTCAAGTGTAAGAAGAAAGCACGGCAACTGGGAGGAGTTTTGAAGTTGCAAAACAGTTCAAGTATTAGCTTTGCTTATAAGCCCTTCAAAGTTGGCTGAACAGATAGGTCCTGGACAGGCTTTAACAAGTATTTAACAATTTGAGCTTACCCCTCACCAGCCTTTAGAGTATGGTTGCAAGAAGGAAGATACGCAGAAAATTCAGCAAGCCTCTGGATACATATACCTAAAAACTAATCTTTTGAAACCCTAGCCTGTGGGGATGCAACTACTTCCTCATCCTCTGGTGTCTCTCTGGAGACGATTCAAGCTCTGTAATATCCCCAGTGTGAAGGTCTCCAGTGATGCAGGGGTAAGAGTCAGTGGGTAGTGTCTCTGTTCAGGTACGTTCAGAGTCACGGATCTAGTGTCACGCAGGCAGAGCTCAGGTCCTTGTCAGGGACACGCTCAGTGCCTCTCCTTTCTATGTGGTACAGAAAATAGCATAATCCTTGTGCTTCTGGAGAAAAAAACCATGTTGGTTCAGTAGCAAAACATCACCATGAGAGTCCACTTAGGTATGCAGACCTCTTAAGAGATTTTCTGTCTTTGATCAGCAGAGGGAAATCATTCCTGGCTCTGGGTCTGGAAGTGATTCCTCTGGTGACCCTTCTCTGACAATTGAAAGTGATTGATAGCTGTGAACCCTCTTGTGTCTCTAGTGTCTTCGCTCTGCAGGGTACTGCTGACAGTAAGAGGCTACCACCTGTAAGGAATCCTCCAAAAACCTGCTTACAGAACAAGAAGGTTCAGTTACACCTCCCTTAGCTTATGTCTTTGGAAAAGGACCTGCAGATAGATCAGAAACCAGGGCACCGGCTGTCCATGAGGCCAGCGCACCAAGCCCAGGATCTGCTGACTCTATCAGTTGAAGACACAGCATTAAAACAGCAATGTTTCCCTCCCCAGATGCATGATCACTGACAACAAGAAAGAGTTTGGCTTTTAAACATGCAGATTTGAAAAACATACAAAAATGCAGATGTTGCCATTTTGGTGAAGGAATACGTTTTTGCCTCTCCCCAAAAGACCATATACAAGAAAAGTCTACTTTTTTTTCTTCTGGGAGAAAACCATCATACTGTTCTCTCAGGAACAAACACATTTCTGTATGCTTTATGGTCTGATTTGAGGCTCTGCCTTGGAAAACTTCGAAGTCACTAAGCTGGAAAGACAGGGTCAAGCCCTTCATTTTTAAAAGTCTGCTCCATGTCTGCATTTTTTCAGATAGAAAGCTTAGATTACATGGCAAAAGGCTGCACAAATCCGTCTAAAAAACAGCATTTAAAAAACATTCAGATATGGAACATACAATTATGAATCTCTGGAACTGATAGCATCTGTATTAGGAAATTGACTTCAGAAACAAGGAGGCAGAAGTTGTGACATCTTTCCCAAAAGGGGGAGAGAAGAAAGGAGCCAGGTGATTACCACGTGACCCCTCTCAAAACCCAACCAAACAGAAAACATCCTGGAACTTGGGAGACAAAGAGTTAATTATAACAGGGAGAGATTTCTTGGTTTGACCTAGAAAAAGGTGAGCTTCAGGACAGACATCTTTATAACCACCCCGGTCTCAGCCTCACAGTTTGCCGCAGGAAACACAGAAAGGATTTGGCAATGGCCCTTCCCCACCATCACTGTGTCAAAGACCTATTTTGGTTTGGCTAGAAAGAGATTATTTTTCAGTGCAGTTCAGAAAAACAAAAAGAATGTATCATGTCCATGTCTAAACTCCTCTGGAAATAAAACTGTCATAAACTCGTCAAAACCCAAGTGATTCTCCTGAAAGCTATGCTGTCCTGCTGAGAGAAAGCTTTCAGGATACAACTGGCTCAAGTGCAGCCATTTGTTTTTCGGAATTTTGGAGGCAGTGCTTTGGAATTTGATATGTTAATTCTAGATCACCACTCGTCCTATTTTAAGATTATGATTTTATTATTCCTATGACCTTCATAGAAAGTAAACACAGTATTACAAACAATGGAGAACAATCATGTTCACCACCACATTTCCATGTAGACATCATGCAAACAAAACATATTTAGTTCTGGTGCCTCTGAAGTCAAATTACTTCTTCTTCTTCAGCTTAAAGATGGTGATGATAGGTGCAAAAGCAAAAGGATGAGAAACATCGAAAAAACCGGGGCCATAATATTACAGACAATGGGACTAAAGGGATGTCAAAAGGTCAGCTAATCCATCTCTTTGCCTCTGAGGCTGGACCCACTCTTCCTAACCCATTCTGGACAGAATAAACAGTTCACAAAATCCTCCAGTGAGAGCACGTCCACAGTTCGTCCAGGCAAACCTATGCCCTGGTTTAAAAGGCTTATTGCTAGAAAGCTTCTTTTAGACTTGAACCCAAACTTTCCTTGCTTTAAACTTAAACCAATCCACAATGGGCATGAAGAATAATTTCACACCTTTCTCATCTGTGACAGCCTTTACACACTGAAATAAATACACTCGGGTCCCTTTCCTCAGTGCTCCCTTTTCCAAATAAACAAACCCAACTCTTCATCTTGCCAAACATGTTCACAGAATCTTAAATTCATTTCATCTTACGGGTGATGTCAGGGTTGAAGAACAACAGCACAAAAAAATCTCATGGAAGTATCTAGTCCCTCAGGGAAATTCAGGCAGCATGAGAAATTGCGACACAATTACTGGGGCTACATGCACTCCTGGAGTGGTTCCAGTAACCTCAGAACACTGGAAACAGGATGCATTGGACTAACTGGATGAAACAGTACATGGTTTCGTTGCAGTCAATAGGAACTTCTGCCAATGACTTCAGTGACATCCAATCACTACCTAGTGCTTCACCAAGTAGAAAGGAAATAATATAACAGGACAACAACGGAATAATTCTATTTCTAATGGTTAGTTTTCCAATACTGCTTTTCTCTTTTCTCCCAGGACACTGAACAAGGAAGGCAAGAGGAAACAGCAAGCAAAGTAAATGGCAAGCCAAGTAAATGGCACAACTTTTTGTGGCAGTTCTACTATAAAAAGCAACCAAAACATTTGGGGGGTGCAGCACAAAGAAGGAGTATGCATTCAGGGCCCCATATTCACCAGTTCAGGGTAAGTTCCAGGTCAGATTTGTTTATTTTAGATCATTGCATGTGATTCGCTTTTAACCTTTTGAAGAACTTCAAGCCTGGAACTACCGCAGAAAAAGCACTGTAATGCAATTCTGTCTTCCAAAGCTGTAATTGTGCTTCCCTTATGATAAAGGATAAATGAATACTCCTACAGAAAGTCTCTGGAGCACATCCGCTGATTAAGGTGTCACTTCTCTTGACTACAAAATTGGAGTCAATGGTAGCCTTTTTTTTCTGTGGGCTTTGGATCAGACTGTAATTCTACTGGAAATGGATGGCAAACCATTTAGGATGATGACACACCTAGCTTACAACTACTAAGATAAAGATCTTGCAGCAGTCTTCCCCCATGTTACATATTGCTGTTACCCTCCCCTGCCCATGGACTTATTACCAGTCATTAATCTACCAAAGAATGTATTGCCAGAGCAGCTCTTAAACTGCTGATTAGCTCATAAGAGAAAGTCTTAGGTCCTCAAAGGAATTCTGGCTGGTGGAAAGGCATTCCTTCAACATGCCAGCATTGCAAGGGAGCCCTATTTCCTTAAATTTGCTTTGCCTGACCTCCCACTTCTTCCCCTGTATCAGAGAAGAAAAGCAATACTCTTCGGAAAGGAAAGAGAATCTTCCCTAGTCCCATCACTGCAAAACCAGCCATGCCCCCTTCCTATCTGCCTTTCTTTGCAGATCACAACAGCAGAGCAAGAGTCATGTGCCTCTTCCCTTTAGCTCAAGGCAGTCCTGAGGGTCCTTGGGGTGATTACTTTACACCAACCACATATCTCTACGAATGAGATGTAGAAAGTGAGGAGATGTGAAAGTGCGGAGAGACATCTTCACGCTTGCTCTTCTAGTCAAAATTCTCAGCCCTAAAGGTACCTTTACCTAAAGGCAAAGGCACGAACTCTTTGACTATGCCCAGAATAAGCTTCGTTTCTCTGCATGGAAAGTAATCTTCCCATCAGTCCCAGGTATTTGTCTGAGTTTCAAATTGAAATGGACAGTGGGCTCCTTTGAGCTCTCTGCCAGGAGAAGGTGGCTTTATACCTACATCCCAAAGCCTTATTTAAGAAGGATTCTGATTTCTCCCTCTTCCAGCCTGCTTGCAATTTCTCCCCAAATAATTCATTAGCAAGGGACATGGACTGGACTATGTAAATATAAAGCAGTTACTATCTATACAAAGCAAGCTATCTCATAAATCACCTTGACTGAAGCTTACGGGAGCAGAGCCAGGCATAAGCCAGTTCCCACCTGGAGGCTGCCCAAGTGTATTAGACACAGTATGGTATCTTGGCAAGAGGAGGAAAATTCTGACATTGAGAAAGTCACGTAATGGATTCTGCTGGGTCCAAAGTACCTGAGAGAGTCTTGCTAACAGCTCTGGTGTTGTGACATGTAAGATTCACACAGTGTATTCCAAGTCCAAGACACAGTCTGGGAAAACGTATCCCACCATACTTCTTATGAGGCTCATCAGAAATGGCACTTCTTGGTGATTCCCCTTAGCAGAACGCCTTCCTCACTACTCTGACATTATCTAACACGCTTATGAACCGGGACTGCAATCCCAGTTGGGACCAGTAGCCCTTGTAAGTGAGGCTGCACACCGTGCCCTGACAAGAAGTTCGTTTGCAGATGACCAACTTAAAACAAGGAAGCCCAGAAGCCAATGAGCCCGCAAGACCTACGGCAGGTGTTACGACTTCTAGCACAAAAGATGCAGGAGCATGCATCCCACACATACATTGTCCTCAAGAAGGTGAGATTTCAGATATGCAAATCCAATCAGGTAAACATCTCGTACAGCCAAAATAGATAAAAGACATATTTTTTCTGTTTTACTCCAAAATACGTTGTTCTGCAAGCAGCAAAATCTAAAGCAGACCCTTCTATTCTTTGCTGGCATACCTAGACCACATGAAACCTAAGCACAGAGAAATGTCAATTTAACACAGGCAGAAATTGAAGCTCTTTCTTGTCTGCAGTATTTCCGTAGTTAACAAGTGTTAGGCTGTCAAAAGCCTACGGACAGGGGGATATCACTTTGTCCAATTTATCATCTTTCATATTAGGTTGGTGTCAAGTTATCTATAGTTAATCAGGAGACAAACCAAGACAATAAACCAATAGCAGGAAACTCAATCCAAGGCATGTTTCTATTCAATGGTTCGGACATAATGTACCAAAAGATAAAGGGAGAAGTCAACTTCTGTTTTATTTATGCAGTCATAGAACAATGGAGGATCTAATTTCTCTCTTTTCAGGCTGAAGTTTCCTTCTAAATGAAATGTCATCTTTCCTTACAAATGCAGTTGGCTCCTATCATTAACAACTCCCCTTGCTGGAGAAACAGATGAGGCAGTATTGCCAGGTCTTTCATTAACAGAAAAGCAAACTCATTATATACACTGGCTACCTTCTACAGGCTTTGGAGCCCACTCTGATGGTGATACAGGACATATAAAGAGATTACTACAGAGGTACTATTTTTAAACTCCTAATTTCTACACAGTATACTTACACTGCCCATTCCAGCTTCTCATTCTTGATTGAATTGTAGAGGGCCTGCAAAGAGAGAAATGAGATGGGATTATTGTTTGACCCCTGCTACATACACATTCATATCCTGAGGAATATTACCTAATACCAGCAAGTGACCTGTCTCTTGCCAGGGAATTATCATAACTGCTCATAGTAACACAAATCTCATCCAAGGAAAAAATACCAGAATGCAGTTTCAGATTACACTTATTTTCTCAAGCAGGTTTTGGGGTTTTGCATTATTTTTAAATAACTGCGTTAAGTTTGCAAAAGCCACAAGTCTGCAGCCTTGAAATTCAAGGTCCAATTAACTCCTGATGGTCAGTGAGATTTTTCTGGCACTGACTTTGATGGAGCCAGAATTTCACCATATGGGCTTACCTGTAAAAATACGCCAGAATAGCTACTCAAAGTCCCTGAGCCTCACAGACACTTAAGTGCTTTCCCAGTCGCACACCCAGACATAAACACATTCCATTTCTGAATGCAAACCAAAATGAACAATAAGCAGCTTTTGTGCTTAAAGATCAATGTCTTGGACTGCTGCCTGCTAACATCATTACATTTTTAATTCATAGGAAAAATGCCAGCAGGTCTGACACCAAAGGTTGCAATTCTGCTGTTGATACCAGCCTGAAAGAAGAGTGTCTGGAAGCTGACTTAAGCCTGGGTGGATATCAGACAGTTGGCACGGATTTCTTTTGAGAGGAAGTAGGTACATCACTTGGATATGTGTGCCTGATTTCAGCCCTCCAGGAGCTGATGCATAGGATGGATTAATGCCTGCTATTACTACAAGCTAATGGAGTTCTTCAAATAGGCCACTTGACTCAAGTGAAGTATTTTGGTATGGAATGTCCCTGATTCTCACACTTATAATCCACATTTGTAATTTACCTTATATACATAGCTAGATTTACTCCCTCTGGCACATAACTCCTACACAGCCTCAAAATATGTTAACGTGTAGAAGAACTGTTGGTGCACATGATTACCAAAAAGTAGCACATCAAGTATGAACAAGCCTGAAAATCACATACTATAATAGCTATGACATGTTCAACAGAAACATTAACATTTAAATAGCCTTAACTCTGACCCAAAACAAAAATAATTTCGAAAACTGAGGAGTTGAAACTAGTCTTGTGTGTATGTCACAGCTGAACTTGCAATGAGAATCCCATGAGCATATCCCACTGTTCATCCTGTGATCCACTGGCTCCTTTCTGAATCTTGCACAAGCTACTTGAAGACCCTTAATACTCAGTTCTGTGAAAATCTGTCTTGATTGAACATACACAAGGAGGTCAAACATACTGGTACAACTCACCTCACGCTCATGCTACACATGCAGCAACTTTTAGTCACAGTGTACCATAAAAGTAGGTTTCTCAGAGTAACAGAACAGATATGACCAACAGGAGGAATTATCCCACATCCTACTTATACTGAGCTACAAGAGAGAGGTCTCCTAAACGTTAGCAGGGCTTTGCTGCACTATTCATAGCAGTATGACAAAATATTTCCAGCTCTATAGAGTTTTCACTATTTCTATATATCCTATCTTCTCTAAACTTGTATAAGAAGCTCAGATCCAAAGGCAAACAGCTGAAGGTGAAGGAAAGGGCATTGCTGGCAGTTTGTAGGCACTTCACTTAATTTTGTGACAGCTATCAAGAGATTTTAAGACTAACCCGCAAGAAGAGAGCAAAAGAAAGAACTAATATTTTTCCTACCATGCAGCCAGCAGTCCAGGAGAATTAGACTCAACTCCATTTTTCCACACAAGCTGATGCTGACACTGATTCCCTAGGGTCACTCAGTATTTTCTACTAGAAGCCACTATATTTATTAATGATTTGGCCAGAGCCCTGATCTTATTCTTTGACTTGTTCTTTTCTTCCTACTACGATTAAAATATTCTCTTACATTTTGAGCCAGAAAACTACTTCCAAATATAAGGCAAAGAGGCTGCATTTTTTCCCCAGTTGCCTTCTCATTTTTTCAGAAGCAGCATTTTTCTTGCCAGCTGGTTGGATGAGCTTCCGAAATGTAGCAAAAACCTGGCCTGGGGTACCAGAAACACCTTTTGCTGCTCTCTGGCCCAAATGCCTACAAGACTGGGTCACAACCTCTGAAAATGAACACCTGCCCTAGGCAGTAACGCTTTTAATCTTATTTTATAAAGGAAGTCCCTGAGGACCATTATGGCCAAAGATCAGGACACACATAAGCAGCACTCCAGACTGGTTCAGGAACAACAAATGCCCCAGGTTTTTGCCTTGTGGCAAGTGACATGTGTTTGTCCTGATCTTTACTAATGAGCCAGACTCCATCTTCCTTCTTTAGGGAGGACACCAACCCAGTCATATGGCATACGTCTGCTGAAGGACACGGTGTCCCCCGTAGAGCACCAAATACAGCCTCTTAGAGAGTCTCTGCTATTTGCAAAAATGAAAGAAAAGCCTAGACAGTACCCACAGACCAGGCATGTTTTGTGTGTCTACAGAGTGTGTCCAGTGAGACCTCAGTGAGTAGACCTCTCAAGGGATGGAGATACCTGAGGTCTCACGCCTGCACCCCATCTCAGCTCTCTGTCAGAGACTGCTGCCAGGCTGCACACTCACCGCCTGTAAGAGCTGCTTTATGTTCCTTCTGCAAAGCAATTTATGCTTTAACATTTTCCTGGTGTCTACTGGGCTCTCGCATGATCTGGGGAAGAAAATTTTCCTCCTCCTATGTTTTGCAACCAGTGGCAGACATGTACAGCCCAGCACCTGCTCTGTCATTTATTTCATGGCTGTTTCCCAAGGCCCTGATTCAGACAGCAGCTCTTTTCAGCAGACATTTCTCCAGAGTATTATTAAATCAAACAAACTTGGAGACAAGCACTTAAATGCTTCACTAGATTGCAACAAAACTGATCAGAGATTATGGTAGGGACATGACTTTCACTATACTTAACTAGCTGCAAGGACATATTTTATTAACTCACGTTTTCTCTCTGGAACCTGGGAGCAGGGGGGAAGCTCTGCTTTGAAGTACTCTTACACTTTGACAACAATCACAGCTTCTTACCTGCTAGCATGACAAGCACTTGGCAAATATGCTGTCTAAACTAGAAAACTGGAAGCTGGACCACAACAGGGAATACCAGAACAAATATTACATGAGTCTCATCTTCCAAGCTGGATTGGTACCACTTGGAAAGGGGAGAGACTTTCTATCTCTTTCGGCACCCAAGGCTACTGTAGGCAGGATCCAAACCCCCAGCTACCAACTACTCATCAGTGTCTTGACTTCACTGCTTTAATCCTTAAGTACAATTACCAAGACCACAAAACCTATTCCTTACAGCTTTCCCCTCTCTGAGAATTGCTGACCTCTGGGTCCACCACACCTGAACCTCAGCACTGCTCTAAGCTCCCTGGAGAAACTAATGCAGTTTTGAAATGAGAATAAAAGAAATTAACTGCTGTGTAAAACAGAACAGCAGGGAACATCATCCGATTTGACCCTTAGCACACTGCAGTGTAAAAAAACTAAAAAAAAAAAAAAAAAGGGTTTATTATGTGTTTGTGGGATTTGTTTGTATTTGTTCATAAACTAGGAAAAAGACTAAGAAATTTACACTTTTTTCTTTTGTTTTTTTTATTTTTTTAAACGGAAGGCTGTAACTCTGTGTGAAAGTGCTTAATTCCATCTCCTTTTTCCCTTTGGTAAGCAGGTAGGTCAACCAAAAATCCAGATTTCCACAAGCTCTCACCAGTTGGTACTTTTATTCCAATTGGAAAGAGAAGCAAAACTATGCAGGGAGCGCTTTGAAAAATGTTTATTTTACAAAGCTGGCAAGAGAAAAAGGTCACTCGCCATTCTCACCTCCCTCAAAACCTTGTCACATGCAGGAACCACTGGACCCATTTAAACAGGCAGCTCTTGGCACCTGCTGACTGCCGGCCATGCTGTGAGTCAGCCTCTGCATGCAGAAGCAGTGAACAAAAGAAAGGCACAACCAGGTGTGCTTACAGGGACATAGACATAATGAATTACCCAAATACTCCTGGTAAATCGTCTAGGTAACAAGTAAGCACACGGTTCCAAAAGCCCAGCCAGCAGAGCGCACAATGCTGAAGAAGTCCTGGGGCACTGTGCAAGTCCTTCCCTCAAAGGGCAACACAGGGCTGGCTCTTGAAACACGCTACTGACTTCCAAAACAGAGTTCAGAGAGCCAGCAGGGATGACCCAGACTGTCTTCTCCAGCTTGTGTTTCCCAGGCTTCCTGCTCACACCCAGTTCTACCCTGATTTCATACAGCCATAGGATGATTTGGGTTGGAAGGGACCTTAAACCTCATCTAGTTCCAACCCACCTGCCATGGGCAGGGACACCTCACGCTAGAAGACCAGGTGGCTCAAAGCCCCACCCAACCTGGCCTTGAACACTGCCAGGGATGGGGCAGCCACAGCTTCCTTAGGCAGCCTGCTCCAGTGCCTCACTACTCTCGCAGTAAAGAATTGCTTCCTTGTATCTAACCTACATCTCCCCTGTTTAAGTTGTTGTTGGTGGAATGGCCGTCTGACCATTACAGGCAATACCCTGAGTGGCTTTTGCTGCCCCTGGGACAGGGATGCATTTCCGCTCTCTGGCCTTAGCCACCATCCCCTCACAGCCACTGTGAGAAGAAGGGGGACATTTCTTCTTTCCCTTCAGCTGGTAATGGCATGGTTGATTCCAGCCAAGGAAGCCGCAGTCACACCTCTGTGCAAAGGTGTGCTCAGTCTTCGCTGTCATAAATGCTCAGCCAGAAGTTCAGCATCTCCTCCAGTCACTCGCACCAGTTCGCAGGCTCTGCGCTGGGATGACAGCCGTCAGCCAGGCCCCACACCCAGCTCCCACCATACACGGTTTATTGGAGGGAGAAAAAATAACAGGAGTAGCAGAACTCCATAAAAATAAAACAGGTTACAGAGGCAACAGACACCAGGCACCACAGGTGTCTGTATGCAGTCCTGATAGGTGTTAAC